TTAAGTTAAAATTGAGAGACAATTTCTCTAATTGGGTTAAAGTTGAGGGATCATTGCTACAATTGTTTTCATTTGGTTTTCCATATTTACCATTTGATTCAGCCTCCCATGCGTGGCACATGACTCACTTTGACGGAAGTTTTTTAACGGAGTTGACGAAAAGAACCATAACTACACGTTTTGATGAGTTAATGAACCAATAATCATGAATTTTGAATTAAGAAATCATTGCTCTAATTGAGTTAAATTTAAAAGGCAATTGCTACAATTTTCTCAATTTTAAATTATAATTTTCTTAAGTTATATTAACAGTGGGACCTAAGAAGCACCAACAATTGAAGCCAGATACACGCGATGGGCCGAGTCTTGCTGGACTAGTTGGTAAAGCGCCTACTTTGCTGGAAGATGCAGAGGGCCTACTGCTCAACCTACCCACTTCTACAAAAATAAAGTAATTATAAAATAAGTTTTTAAAGGCTTAAAACTTTTCCAGCTTTTGCTTTTTTTGTAAAAGCAGTTTTTGGTATGATGTTTGGAAGCTCCAGATTAGCTTGTCATCTGGAATTTATGTTTAGTTGATTGATATGATGAGAGGCGAGAGAGAGAGAGAAAAAAAAAAACCTAGGGTTGGAGTTAGTTGTGTGAAACACTGTTCCTAGATTTCATTATTATAATATACGTATTGATATTATTGAGATTGTATATTATTTTTTCAGGAATTTATATCAATTTATTTGAATTTAGATTTTAATTAAACTAATTACAAAGTTTGAAGTTTGGAAATTAATTAATTAAAATTTGTAGACCTTTCGAGGTCACAGTTAATGTTTTCGAATAGAGCTCGATCCCACGAACGCATAGGCGAAAGTCATTTGCGAGTCTAGATTATAACGGTAGTTACGGACATTTGAAGTCGTCTTACTAAACTATAGTTTTTAAGTTGAATAAATTCCCACAAGAATTCAATATTGAGAAAGAGGCCAATCAGAAATTAGAAGGGAGGGGAGGACCAATCAAAAAAAAAGGAAGGAGGGAAAAATACCCCTTTCCCGTCGACCCACCCAACTAGTTTCGACCCGGTTCTAATTCCGGCAGTTTCCACCATTTTTTCCGTCGAACCACCACCAACCAACACCTGCAACCTCTTATACAACATCTCCTCTACCATTCCCACCCAAAATCATAGGAAATTTAGTTGTAGTTTGGTGAAAAACACACCATGGGTGTCGCGTGAAACCTTGTCGTGATTCATCATTTGTGAAACGATTTCATTCAATTACCACCACCATTAGACTCTTCTTGAACCCAGGAATAAAGCCCAAACAATCTTGGAGACGTCGGAGCAAGTATGAAGTTCGAATTGAAGCACACCCAATTTGAGGGTTTCGGCTGTTCGTGGGCGATTTCAGGAGTTTCCAGATCGAATTGGCCTTATCCACATGTATAAAAATTACTCCCCTCATTGAGATCTACATTCCTGTAAAATTTGGTAATTTTTGGAATTAGTTGAATTTTCCGGCCAGTCGGGACGGCCGACAGCCACCGGCGGCACGTGGCCAGTGGGCCGACAAGGTCTTTCTAAGTCCAATTAAATACTCTGAATTCCTAATTGATATCCATATGAAGTGGTTTGATTGTTTGAACTTAGTTTCATTACGATACATTACTTTATCAAAATATGAATTGACAATCCGACCGTTGGATTGTCACCAAACTTTAATGCGTCATAGAACGTAATATTTAAGGTTAGCTGGAGCTAACGGATCCGGAATCTGACGTACGGATCTTCCCGAATTATATTTCTAAGTTAATAAAATTAATTGTTAATCGCCACCTAATTCTAGCAATTGGCGAAGATCCGACCGTCAGATTGTGGTGAGACTTTAGTATGATGTTCTATGAGTATAATGAGGACCTTAGGAAGTTACGGATCGGAAATCCGATGGGCGGATCTTTCAAATCAAATTATGTGGAGTTGTGAACCCTTCCGTTGACCGAGAGTTGACTTTTGATCAACATGTCCCGAAACGTTATGGATACTAAAATTGGTACTACGAGAGACTAAGTGAAGTCTAGTGGGCCCACATTGGTTAGAGAGTGACTTGAATATATGGGATAGGGTTATTACCTTAATTTCTTATATTAGTATCCGTTGTGAATATGAATTGGTTTTATAAGTGTGATTTCTATTGAAATGTGATTTTTATATATCTAGCCATAGACCTATGTTTATGAAACATGATTTGGCTTGTGTACTGATAAAGGTTGTGATATATGTGTGTTTCATTAACTATTTTTAGCAATGTGAATGATAAGTATGATAAATGCTATGACTATGTGATCTTAGAATCCTATTAGAAGTATTTTGTAGAATTTATATGATTGTCTAATGTATTAGTTGGTGGCCATGAGAAGTTGATGGTGTAGTGACTACGTTGTAACCCATAGGGGTTGAGTTGTGGGTAGGTTGTGTGTTGAATTTCCTGCACCATGTAGCAGTGGTACATAGTGGTCCTGCTTGGTTAATCTGCGATGGGGGATCATATTATTTATGAATCATGCATGGTTACTCTGCGATGGGCGATCCTTATGGCCATTCATACTTAAGGGTGATCATGCTTGGTTAATCCGCGTTGGGTGATCACTGCCTAACAGTTCTGTAGGTGTGACTCTGCTTCGTTAATCCGCGTTGGGGGGTCACTACCTACCTGATTATCTTGACCCTGCTTGGTTAATCCGCATTGGGCGGTCATTAGTGGTCATGCTTGGTTAATCCGCATTGGGGGACCATACGATATATGGATCGCGCTTGGTTAATCCGCATTGGTCGATCCTTATGGCCATGTATGCTTAGGAGTGATCACGCTTGGTTAATCCGCATTGGGTGATCACTTCCTAACAGCTGTAGGAGTGACTCTGCTTGGTTAATCCGCATTGGGGGGTCACTGCCTACATGGTTACTTTCTCAGGGGTGGCTCTGCTTGGTTAATCCGCTTTGGGGGGGGCACTTCCTTTTTGGTTATTTATGTAGGCTTCGGCCAAACTGCATTCCTCTAGCCCTAGTTTTTAATGTACATATGAACGATGGTTTTTGAGAATCTTATGGTTTGAATTAGAAAAGTCGTTGGATGTCTGGGTGACTCATTCAGAGTTTTCAGCGGCTTGATTATGATTTCACAAAGCATGATTCTATACTTGATGTTCATAGATTGTGATCGATGATCTGGTTTTATTTAAGTATCACATACTTGTATTGTTGTCACTCACCCGAGCTTCGCAGTTTATCCAAGTGTCTAATTTTCCTAGTGTGCCATCTCCTTGATGTAGGCATGATTGTACATATGACAGGTCTGGGTAGATTATGAGAAGTAGCATGGTATTTTAGTTCCGTCCGGAACCCGAGATTGTTGGATTCCGTTGAGTGGTCCGGAATCCTTGCTCTTGCTCATATCCATAAGGTTAGTCTAGAATCCTAGATTCGAGTGGATGAGAATTACCCCTAATAGACCTTGTGAATATAAATTAGAATTACCATGTTTATTACTCATAATCCAAGTAGGGAATTATAAAGAGTTCCATAGTTAAATTCGTGAAATGATAAGTTATCGCATTGATTGATTAACGTAAATAAATGCTAAGATCATGCATTTTTTATTAATGAATTGATTAATTGACGGGATTGCAGAATGACTTGGATATGGATGTTATTATTATGATTATTCTAGTTGATCAATGTGGCTTGAGAAGAATATCGTGCTTCGTCATTGGTTCTTGAACATATTGCATGGTATGCATTGTGATATATTGTTGAGACATAGCGATTTATGTGATAAATGTTCAAGTATAGTGAAATGGTGAACTACGAATGACTTGATCCCTATTGAGGGTACGTAGGCAGTCTAACGAGAAGGTTAGATGCATCCATAAAGTATACGAAAAATCACTACTCAATTTGAGGCTTGAGCGTACTTGGTACATATCCCGGAGGTGGGATCTGTTGGGTTTATGGTTACTTGGTGACGTTACGTGTTGATCTTGGACGTAGGTCGAGATTAGGGCGTGACAAGTCGTGCACGCCTAACGGACTGATTTTAGGTGATGTCCCACATCAATGACTGCAAATTGCCTGCAATTGAGTTGGTGACTTAAACAAGTTTTTATTGGGGTTTGGAGGCAAAAGAAAAAAAAAAAAAGCTTGGATTTTGTCATAATCTATTGCGCACAACTGCGTGTAGATTACTCGCATCAATATTTCTGAATTGCTCAAACCCGAATGAAAGACAAAAACAAGAATGCATACCCATTAGCCAAATAGTAGGTTGAGGCATATACCTATACAAATCTATATCTTCTGCTACCGTGCATACCCATTAGCAAACAATGGTTCTTCAAATTCTAATTGGATAGCTTACATGTCACTTCAAAATGTTTTGCTACCTAGAAACTTGGGCAACCACCTAGCATAGGAGTTATTTGGATGGGCTTGAGTTTGTAATCAAAATCCAGATGGATCCTTGCATTTCCTTGGTAGGCCCTTATTTTATGATCAACAATAAGGAATAGGATCGGCTGCGGATCTTAGTATCCAGAGCCAAAAAATCAACTAAACTGGACTGCACAAATTGAATACAATAGTCTTCATTAACTTAATTTTCTGGCCCACCACACACAAACCAACAATTCTGCTTTCTTTTACACACCAATCAACGGCCCAAATGAATTAATCTTTAGGCTCCGAACACTAATGTCCGCAACGGATCCAATTCCCAACAATACATACACATTCTGTTTTTTTCCTTGCTTAGTCAGTGAGTTTGAACCCCTGTGAAAAGAAGAGACATCACATCTGCATTCTCCCTTGGAAAGTGGTATTTTTGCCAACAAGGCCAGCATCAGATCTAATAATCAACCTTCATATTTGGTTGAGGTTTATACTTAATGGGCCGGGCTCATTAGAACCAATGGTAGTTTTGACATATCACAACAAATACAGTATCATTTTGTCACAAAAAATCAAAAGGAAAAATCGATTAACGACCATCGTTTTTTTCACTCAAAACTATTGGCAAATCTCGGTGTCTCTGTCGTCTTCTGATTTTCCTCCTAATCGGAGAAGAAGGGCAACCGAGCCACGCTGTAAAGGCATTGAAATCTTGGTCCTCCGAATTCGTGGTTTTCTGATTCTTCCTGGTGCTCCTCACGATTGATTCCATGGTCTGATCTTCTGCGAATCCCAATCCGACGGTGGCGATAGCGTCGGCGAGAATCAATCGGCCGATGTGGATCTCTTCGATGCGTATTTCCGACGAGCCGCTTTGGACTGCGATGGCCGGATTAGTGGCAATGAACCCGTCGCTTTCTTCCAGGGCTCCGGTCTCCCCAAACAGGTCCTTGCGCAGGTGCTCTCTCTCTATATATTTATATGCTTGTGTATATATATATATATATATATATGTACAATTGGATGTGTATTGTAGTGTCTATATTTGTGTAATTATAGTCGTTGATTGGCATTTGATGCTGGTGGAAATGTGTTCCAAATCAGATTGATTTTGAATTTTTAGTCTAATGGTAGTTGAAGTAGTTAATGCGAGCTCGGGATGTCGTAATTCTCTGATCTAAGCTGAGATTTTTATTTCGTGTCAGTATAAATGCGTAATTGATGTTAAAATGGTAGAAAATAAGTAGATGAAGGATTTATACTACAGATAGTGAGGTTGAAAGAGTTATGTTATCAGGTCATTAATATACTTTCTGGTGTATCCGTTCGATCTTAGGTGGTAAGCAGATTTTAGAAATGTGTTATATGACCCAAGGTTTGTTTACTACACTACAATAGTCTAGTTTTGAAAACCTGCAGCATAAGTTGACTGCGGAATAGTTAGGATTGTAGCATACAAGGGAAATATTCTTAGTTAGGATCATAGTATCTTCTCAATTTCATGATCTATATTTCTTGGCCATATTCTTGGATTGGAAAGATGCTGTTTTTTAGGATATTCTAATTTATGTTGAAGGTCCTGTATGTAGGAAGAAATTGTATTGTTTATGGAGTCTAGTTTTCATTGTCGTCCGTTTTAAGGTGGGGGACAACTTAACTGAAGAGATTGCATTTTATTGAGGAGATTGGGTTGGCAATTAAAGCATTCCTTCTTATGCACCATAATGGTGATGAAATAAAAATCCATATTTGGTTGAACGGGCCCAACGGGGAACTGGGGCATGGGAAGAATTTATCATGTGTGTAAATTTAGACCACATTTTTAGAAGATAATTTTATATTATTCTAGGCTCAGAATATTTTAAAAGGATTCGACTAAAAAATGTAAGAATTTTATATCTAGCTACTAGCATAAGGAAATGATGTTTTAAACTTTCAGTTTTTGAATGCTGATTCTGCCTATTTGCTTTAATCTGTTTTCCATTTGGTATAAAGTTTTGTACAAGAGCAGATGTGACAGTCGCCTTAATGAGATCACAGAAAGGGCATCTGCTGATAGATGTGAGGTATACTGTAGGATACTTGAGACTAAGCACATATACGCATTAATCTTTAGCTACTGTCTTGGCTTAATGAATACTACATGAATCTAGGCTGAGTCCCTGGCTAATAAGAAATATGAAGAGAAATACAAACAAGCTGGAGATGTAGCTTCCAAGCTGCTATTGAAGAAGCAACGTTTCGTGATTTACAGGTACATATCACCACATATAAATATGTGGACAATTAGTGACCCACTAGCAAAAATGCCGGCGCTCCGGTGCGGGTTTTGAAACCTTAACCACAATTTAGCACATCCATTTCTAAATTATTAAAAAAACAATCAAAGCAGATGAATCCACATGGTAAAATAAGTCTTTAAATTTGCATCTATATTCTATTGAATTTACATCAAGAGCCTATGTACAACAAAAAAGTGAATTTCTACATACCAGCTATATACAGTTTACATGATGAGTTTTTCATACAAATTTGCGAGTGATGGTTGTTTACTTGGTATCTAAGATGCGGTAGTAGCTGGTGGTGATGTGGCTAAAATGAGAGACTCAAAATTGAGTATGATTCCTTGTAGCATGAGTAGAAAAGGAGGTGCAATACAATCTGTTAGTGATAAAGTTACTTTTATCCAAGCTCAACTCAAAATTTACAATCTGTTAGTGATAAAGTTACTTTTATCCAAGCTCAACTCAAAATTTACTGTAGGTATCAACAATAATTCTATGCATATTTGAGATAAAGTTGAACCTGATTTAGAGAATTGTCTGAAGCACATGTCACCACCACTGGCCTGAATGCCATTTGAACCGCTGATATATTAAATAGCCTGAATGCTGCATTGGAACCATTGAATATTCATTAGAGAATATAGGAACTAAACATGGTCATGAATCACTATTAATATAATGACTCCTTGTTAATATGAAGCCATACCTCTGCTTCTTTTGCTCATCAGACATCCAATAATTATTCCACCATGTTATAAACCGGGTCAAGCTTATAGGATGGATACATAAAGTCCTGACATAGTGCTCCCTAAGGAATAGCAAGTACATCACGCTGCGCAAATCCTCCTTCCGTAGAAAATACAACCTAGTTGAAACATTAATCTTAAATAGTAATTACAAATATTTCAGAATTAATCAAAAACGAAACGACACTCTTAAGGAGATATCATATCATCACAACCAGAATATCAGTTGAAATACAAGTGTAAACAAAATTATAAGTAGGTGACTGTTTCTCCACAACTATTAACATGCATAATAGTTTTCTACAATGGTACAGTAGTTGAAGATTTGCTTACCGTGAACTGTTCTATGCGCCTGCATTGTGAAGCTAAGAATTGGAACCTCATTGATACTGCATAGCCATATTTACTGTATAACATGTAGCATGGCCAGAATTTGAACAAATATTCCAGTCCTATGTGGAGAGGTCGCATTTGGTGCGATGGTAAGTGCCTTCGCCCATGAGCGGTAGGTCTCGGGTTCGAGACTTGGGAGCAGCCTCTCTATAAATGGGGGTAAGGCTAGCCGACATTCACCTCTCCCAGACCCTGCGTAAAGCGGGAGCCTTGTGCACTGGGTACGACCTTTTATTCCAGTCCTATGTGGACAAAAACCTGAAATTTATAGGTAACTCTTAAGTAAAACATACATTCTTACATAATAATATACAATACAATCTATAAGTGATATAGTAACTCTTAAGAGGATTGTGTATTTGAGGCACAACTGAACCTGATTTAGAGGATTACATGTACACAAATTTGGGATTTGCTATCCTCTTGCCAACTCTGCCATTGGTCATCTCAGTAATAATCTATTGATTTCAAAGATCAATTTAATAAATTAGAAGGTTCTATAAAAGTTGACTATCTATGTTGATGTAAACCGCAACATTTACCAAGAATACCATGATTTTTAATCTTGTGCATAGGTTTGTCATTGTCCTTCAACTTGACAAACTCATTCACTCCAAATTTCTTCGCTAAAACTAGAGAAATAATGTTGTAATCCTACTTACATCTTCAGCAGCCCAGACACAGCATGCATAAGTATAAATAATAAAGGATTTTGGATCAACAAGTTTGTCCACACTTACAGCGATGCCAACAGAGCCAAGTCCAAAAAGAACAATTGAAAATCCCTTTTCCATTTTTATTGCATTTAAAGTGCCACCCAAACCTGATTTTGGAAAGAAAATATTCAACATCATGTCAACTTCGGATACATAAGTGAAGACTATAATGTTTTAAGTATTGGATTTACCTGAATGTTCGTAATGAAGAAGAATGATCGCCTACCTTGTACTGTATATAGAAGCAAAAAAAAAAAAATCCAATAATTATTATAGATAGGATTAATAGGTTTTTGCACGTTGAATCATTAGAATGGTTTCTAAGTCAAATAATATTCTATTTGGGTTGGAATCAATTGTAAGCAAATGAAAGTACCATAACCGAATATAGATGGTATAATGGAAGGGTTTCCTCACCATTTTAGTAAGTAATATGCACTGAAAACTACCAAATCAAACGTGAAATCCAATAACCTTGGGTGTCAAAATTTTACGCACTCAAACTCTAATCTTCTTGTTCCAGTGAAAAAATTCCAAATAGTGGATCGCATATACACTCATTGTGTTATAAATCTGAAAATACTGTTAGTATATAAAAGTGTACATGCATGCAGCAAAATTAAAGTTTTTTCAAACTTCCAGCGAGGCCAACGGCGCAAGGTGCAAAAATAGCAACTGAATGTCCTTTTTTCAGTTTTCCTAAAATGGCACTCAAACTTGATGTTGGAAAAGAAAATATTCACCCTTACATAAACTTTAGATACATAAATCACCACCGTAATGTTTTTAGTGCTGAATTTAACTAAATGTTCACAATGAAGAAGAAATCTTGTCCAGCTTGTGCTTGTATATTTCTTTTTCGCAATGAAGAAGTAACATAGTCTACCCTGTGTTCACTTATAGTAGATTCGCTTTCATACAATTCAATCCAACTTCATATTTATAGACTTTGAAAAATATCCTAATAATCCAACACAGAAATACATAATAATTCTACATGTAAATAGTATAATGAAATGATTTTCTTACCATTTTATGAATTAATATTCAATGAAAATCACCAAATAGATCATGAGATCCAATTGATATGCTCATCGTGTTATACATCCGAAAGGAAAATATTCATATTGTTAGTAGAAAAAATTGTGTAGGTATGGAAACTAAAGTTAAAATTATAAAGACGTTTAGCCATGAATGAATAGAAGTTTAAACCTGTTTGTAAACCTTGAAGTACGTCTTTATACACTATATTTTTCGTGTATCTATTTGGGATTTCGTTATTATTGTCTATTAAAATTTTTAGACCTTCTCTTGATGTAACTCTAGATAATGTTGTTGGGTTTTTTTCCAGTCCATGATAAGTTGTCCTACGTCTATAAGGATTTATAGTCTTAGAGGATTAAATTGTTTTCCCAATTGGAGTTGTTTACCCAATTGGAGTTAGTTTCTCAATTGGAGTAGGATTCATAACTACATTCCAATTAGGATTAATAATCCTTATTGAAGAAGACATTTATTATGTCTATATAAAGGGGCTATTGTACTAGTTTTGAAAGGGAGCAAAACAATAAATTGTATACCACTCAAGGGATTAGAATGAGAGAATATTGTAAAGTGTGTGCGAGAGAAAAGAAAAGAGAGAGTGTAAATCTTGTTCTTGTTCTTTCAGGTTTTTCGTCAAGTCCTAGTTTTAGAGATTTGGCAAGATTATTGGTTGTACTCATTATTGATCTAGTGAAAGATTATTGTTACTGTCCCGTAGATGTAGACACATATTGCCGAACCACGTAAATTCTTGGTATTATTTATCTTGGTTATTTGTTTTCGATTTCCGAAGTTTATTCTATTTTTCTCATTCTTAAATGTGATATTCTCAACAAATGCAACATATAGTTGCCCATGGGTAAATACAGGTTGAGAAAGATACTATCCAACTTATTTCAAAGATTGGCCTTGACTTTTATTTATTGTCATTGCATAACATGATTTAATTGGGAATTGACGCCTTTTAAAAATGAAAGGCCACTTGTTTTCAGTTGATGTATGACTTATTCTAGGTATAAAAACTTTGGCCAAAGTTGCTACTAGAAAGTATTTTTGTTTCAATAACTCTGTCAAACAATTGGGTGATAACTAATCTTGTTCCATTGCATAAACCAGAAGTTTGATTTAAGCTTCTCAATAACATAACATGCATTTTTATTTTTAAAGTTAAACTATGTGAAGGCAAACCATTGAATTTGAGTTTATTTAGGAATTATGTAGGATACATTATACTAAGGTTTTCAGAATTTCCAGATGATGAACATAAAGAATCCGAACTTAGGTAAGTGTGCTTTTCACCGGGTAACAATTCAATTGCATAATCATTTATCTCTGCTAGAGTCGTATTTCTAGGCGTAACAATAGCTCGTTCCCTTAAATAGGCAAGATTGTCAAAGTTGTTTTCAAAATTTGGGTAGGTTGCAGAAATAATTGATTGAATAGGATTCGTGAAAGAATGAATAAGTAATCTTCCGGGATTTCAATCCAAGATACATCATCATTTGGATCATCAAAATTTACAATCTGACCATCATCGATCTATAAAATCCAGGCAGCAAAATCACTTATTTTCTTTTTCTCTTCAATGTTTAATCCATTTTTGACAACCTCATATTTTCTTTTAAATGAAATATTTTGAAAAAAGGCCATAAGTATGAGCTATTAAGAGAGGCATCTATTATTTCTTCTTTTGTTCCTCCTGGAATAACTGGTAATATTTGTCTAAAATCACCACCCAGTAAAAAAGGTTTGCCACCAAACGGAGCATTATTACCTGAATCATTTAAATGAGATAAAATATCCGAAAATGATTTATCTAATGCTTCAAAACATTGTTCATGATTCATCGGGGATTCATCCCAAACAATTAAATCAGTTTTTTCAATCAATTTGGCAAGGTGAGTCCCTTTTTTTATTGTGCACGTTGAGCAATCAGCAACATTTATGGGAATTTTAAATCTAGAGTGAATTGTTCTACCACCCAATAATAATAATGATGTTATACATGATGAAGCAACAGCTAGCACAATTTTGCCCTCATATCTAATTTTACTTATTATTGTATGCCATAGAAAAGTCTTTCCAATTCCTCCATGGCCATAAACAAAACAAAAAAGGCCTGATTTTTTTTCATTCACAACATTGATGATACAATCATATACATCTCTTCGGTTTTTTTTTTTTCATTCACAACATTGATGACACAATCATATACATCTCTTCGGTTTTTGTTGAGCTGTGTTATTAAAGCTGACTGTTCTTTTTCTAAATTAAGGTAATCATAATTTAATTCTTCTCTCATCAATTTATTTCTAATTTCCAACATTTTATGCTCATCTAGCATAGG